AACAGTAAGGTATGACTCAGAGCACCGAATTCCTCACGATACGGTGGATATAATGCTATATCACGCTTCATTCGGATCTATCGCTACAATAAAGCCAGTTTATCAAGCGTGCTAGGAACGATGTAAGATTAAAGAGTCTACAGGAATTCTCCTACAGCTTGTGAAGTGCGTCATCGAGTGCAATGCACGCTTAAATTCGGTCTTTAGCATCTGAGACAGGATCCTCATAATCGAAATGCACATGTTAGTGATTTGGCCAAGGGCTCGAGATACGTAGGAGAAAGTCTGCTGAGTTCAACTTCCATCTCAAATGGTCGCTTGCGCATCAGAGGCGGCTTTGTCTCACAACCACTATAGATATCACCAGTTGAGCATGTAATTTGCGACGTGTTAATGGTGGAAAACGACACCGGCACTGATATCAAGACTACCCCTTAGTGTTCTACGGACTGCACGGGGTATATTTAATGGCTCCGCCACACTTCGGACGCCGTGTTCATTGCTGTGTACCGAAACATGATTTTGTTACACGACGGATGCATCAGTCACTACATCGGCGAGATTTAGCGCGAGATGGTGAGGCTCAAATCATCCTCGTGCTCCTCGAAACGAACGCAAATCGTCTCCTGAAATCTATAGACGTGGAAACGTTCCAGCCTTTCACGCCATCATCTATGACGTGATGCGAGTGCACAGTGTATTAAGGGCAAAATATATGCCACGCGAAAACAGCCATTTGCTTGGTAAGCACCGCGTGCATCAAGGGATAAGCCATTTGGTAAAATCACTGGGTTCAGAGTTTAACTTGTCTACCCAGTGTCACCGTCGTAACAGAAACATCGGCTCAACTACTTTTAGATGGAGGGTACGCCAACAACTTCTAGCCGCCCTCTAAGATTAAAACCAGAGAGGTCGTGCAAAGTGAGGTTCTCGTTCTTCTTGCATTTTATTAGAAGATCTTAATCGGTGCAAAATGCTTAACGTTAACCGTCGACGCTCCACGCGCGAGGAATAACAGAACGTCGACATGTGGCAGCATCCTGTTTGGAATGATATTTAAATGGGTTTATTCGGTAATAATTTTGGTAATTCTATACACTTGTATTATTTTCGTGATATTTGTACTTAGGGACCTGTAAATCTACAGTAAATTCGAGCGCTTAGCCTTTCAAATGACAAAATAAAAGAACTTCTATCAAGCTCTTGTTTCCTGCTACAAATTGTCAAGTTTTGCGCTAACGTCAGGACATTATCTAAATTTTTCCGAGGGTCACAATTTCCGGTAACCCTTTAAAAGATCATAAATAAATAAGTTAATCGCCCAAAAATTACAAGCGATTACCAAAAAAACAGTGGGTAGCCACAAAAACAGTGGATGGCCTTCAATAATGTGAACATTCTTACACAAACTTTTTCCTTCCTACACAACTATCGAAATAACTATAGCTGTACCGCAGCCAATATCCTAAAACTCTGGACACACTTGCCTTCACACACCTACCTTGGAAGTACATCCTTTATATGGACATCAACAACGAAAGCATACAGTTGTTTTTTCTATTATTCTTCTGCAGTAGAACCCGATCACAAAGTAGAGCACACAAAATATGCTGCTCACGTCTTTGTATCTAAAAATGGATTTTCGATAGCTTTTCAGAGGTCGGGTAACCACAATCATCCCTCATGTATGATGGAAGTGTAAATATGATATGTACAGGGAGGACGCAATTGCAGTCGGTCACCTTATAAACCAGATCCCGGAAAAAGGTCAACAAAGCAAGTGGGCTGTGCTTACGAATACGCCTTTCCTCCAGAGGACGAACAGGAACCATGATTTATAAACATCAGATGTACAAACTCGACGTACTCTCACCGGCTGAAATGGTCCCACTAAACAAGAAAGAATGAAATGGCGATCAGCAGAGACCACCTCTTTAGGCGACCATGTCTTTCAATCTTGCTGGGGCTCCCAGACTGCATACTTCTCATCTACTTTGGCATCGCCTTCTAATTTCTCGCTACCGTTATTGCCGTGCAGAAGCTGGTCCTGGCGTGATTACTAATATTCTTGTCGGGCTGCGACCCTTCACGCTCGTACCAGTATACTTCGCTCGGCCTACGTTTTAATTCTCTGCGTTGCATCGGTTTTATCGTTGCTTTTCTTATCATCTAGTTATTTCAATCGAAGCTGACAACTACAATTTTATGGAATGATCGGCCGTTCTCACGACTGTATGCTATTTACTCGTTTGAAAGTGGGTTGATTGTTGTGATGAAACCCCTTTTGTCCATTCCATAACATTATAATCTTTATTCGGATTAACCCACGTTACTTTGATTTTTAAACGTATTCGTGGTAATTGCGATTGCTGGGAGGCTATGAGTCACGAAGTCTAAAGATCTAAAGATTACACATGGAGCAGCACTATTAACACCAAGTCATGATCTCCATAGTGTGACTATATTGACGCTGTAGTATTCCTGCGGAGCACACAGCAGCTGTTTAAAGAGTAAATGTGCATACCAAACAACATTCGTGTGTGGATTTGTTCCTTCTGTGCAAGTGAACGCGTGTGAGAGTTTAGATATATGAGCATATATGCCTGTAATTCGGCATCCCTGAACGTAAGGATCCACAAAGCTGGCTACACGGTTGGTATTTTCGTCGTCATTTTGAGCGACATTTTTGCTGACGACAACGTTCTTAACACCATCATTTGCACACCGAGATGAACAAAGACACGTTATAGGTATATAAGACCACTTTTCTAACAGATGCACCATGCAATCCATTAATTTTGCCACCATAACCATTCTGCTAAGAAGTGACATGGTAGTTTTTGCGAGCCCGAAAGGTTAATCTTTTTCTAAATGTGCGCTTGATCGAATGCCAAACTTTTTATCGTGCTTATCTGAGTGTCTGAGTATGTGTATGCCTGTAAATAACGCGGCTAGATGTAACTTATTTGCTCTGTGTACGATCAAGCCTGTCTACCCTCGTAGTTATGTAGGCATAACAAGTTACTCTTTCGGCTTGGTCAAAATTGTGATGCACGCTCGTGATTGGCTTAAAACTAAAATAAAGGTAGTAAAGATTATATGAGCAAATGCTAGACGCTCATAAGCAAAGACTGATTGCGTTGCCATAGCATACTTTATTAGCTGAAAACATACGTTAATATCATCATACTCATTCTTTATATACTGCTGCCGCTGTTTAGTGTTTTGCAACTCGATCGAGTTCTGAGTACTGAATTACTTGAACCAAAAGGGAGGCTCCGTAGCATTCTCCCAAATATAATGGTATGGCTATGTCCACAAGAAACAAGTGTAGTGTGCCTTTAAAGAGATTTACTTTAAGAAAAAGAATGGGCGTGAGGCGAATAAGTGATATACACTCTTTGTTCAAATCTATCATTTGCCGCTCTTGCCGTGCTAGCTAGCTGCGATCTCTGCACCTACCAATCTATAGCGTCACGCTCGAATCGGCAAATACCTCTTCTCTGTCATATGCCGGGTTAACCGCTTCCAAGAAGACGCTTCCATTCGCGTCGCCAGAAACCGCTACACGACTGAACATGAATTCTCTAACACTCCTTTTCGTGAGTTGTAGGCTATGCAATTGGCTCTCACGCAGTGACATATTAAAGTTGTTGCTTGCGTGTGTCACCTCTCGCTTCGCCAAATAAGCCGTCAGCACATCTTTCTTATGCAGATTCATACCTGTCACTCGTGCTCAGTAACCGCACAGCGCTTCTTCAGCTGCTCTAGCACTGCGCCTTATCAGCCACGGCATTCCTTGCGCCAAGCTCATCAAGCTGCATGGTATCGCGCGCTTGACAGCGCCCATCGCTTTCGTCGTCAGGTCCGCGAGTCTAAGCTCGCAGGGACGTGCTGCGCCCGTAGATACCGCGCTGCGCAAAGTCTTTCACAAGCTTGTGGCGTGCATTAATATTCTTCTTTCTGCTCGTCAATGCTTCACCCTTTTTCTGGATAATGGAAGCCTTGTTGCCGACATATAGTAGCATGAGAACCACCGGCGCCATGTCGATCTCCATCAGAAGCTGCCGTAGGCCAATAATCTCGCGCGCACCATCGTTCGCCACCACGAAATCTAAGTCTTTGGTGGATAGCGACACGCCACCTTAATTATTGGCATGCCATGACACTGCCATGCCAATCAAAAGCACCACTTCTCGAGTGAGCGACGTCCTGTCGGCCTTGTCGGCCAAGAATTTGACGTCGCTGTACGCTTCCAAAAATTGGCGCTTCACGGCTCTGATTATTGGCTTGAGCGTCGCGGTGCCCTGACGATTCTCTTCTCAAGATTCTTGTCGTGTAGGCGCGGTGCGTGCGGTATCAGAGTCGCCTAATGAACGACAGGTGCCACGTCTGGACACGTGCACCACGCCACTCAAAACAAGCTACTCACGAGTGCCTAAACTACCTTGATCGTAGGACCGCCGCTTGTGCATGTTGTCTCAAGCAGCACAGCATCATCGATCAGCACCTCGTTGCACTCATCACCGATTGGCGTCTTCGCCTTGTTAGCAGTGGTCATTTCGTGCGCTTGCAGTAGTTCTATATTTGCTTTTTTATTCATTTCAGTAGCTGTGGTCGTCTCCAAGCTCGACACGCATGCCGAGGAACTTGTGCACGCGGCCCAAGTCCTTGATCTACATCGTCGCCAGACCCTCAAATTGCCTTTTCACTGTCACGGCGCTAGTGCTCTCCGCAACTAGACCAACAACGTACACACCGACAACAACGATCTGCTCGTCATCTAGCCGAAAGCATAAGCACATGTCGGTATCACACCCAAAGAGTTCAGCGTCCGTAAGCCGCGCATGGGGTAGCTATTTCAGAGGCTTCCCGCTTGCTCTAAGCCATACAGACTCTTGCAAAGCTCGAGGACGAGCTTATCAAAGCTCGCAGCGCCGGCCTCGCGCAGTGTGACTTCACACGTCCATCCCGCGCGGCACTTGCAAGCAAATCTAGATTTAGGCATTCTTGTCCGCCTCAACGTGCGCGTTTAAGATGTCGCTATATTTGGCCGGCATGCCCCGAAATGCCGAAAGTGCTAACACCACCTTGACCGAACACGCAAAGAGCCACACTTTGTGCGGTTTTATCTTGCCGTCGGCTCCTGTCTTGATCGTGTTGATTTCTTCGAATTCAGCTGGTTCGATACCACTCTTCTCTTCTTCATGCATCAGGCGCCGTTGTCATGTAGCGCACTAATCTCCTCGCGCCTTGCGATCCCCCAATCCACGCGCTTCGAATTGCGCATTGCTTCTGCTTATAATTTCGTGTCCTTTCCATACGCGAGGTTATCGACTTCGCGTATCGCCGTCTGCTACTCCAGCTGCGCCACTACTTCTGCACTCTTGGCAGCTCCACGTGCCGCGTGCGGCTGCAGCCACCGTTTCTTCTTTGACTTTTTCCACGAGGTTCCGCTGCTGCTTTCGTCGCTCGACTGCGTCGCTTCCGTTGCTTCTTGCGCTAACTAAAGTTACAAGGCCCATATCGTCACACTCGCGGCGTCTCTACTCTGCAAACAACAAATTTTCCTGATTTCGCTCAACATGATTTCGCTTATTTTTGCTGATATCTTCGCGATGTTTCGTACACGCTGCGTCGTGATGACTATGTTGCTCTTCAGGAGGTCCACTCGGTACCTCTTCGTCTCATCTTTGCGGCCGATTATCTGCCCCTTTTCTGATTGTAACGCCGGCGAGTTCTTGACCAGGTCCCATCGTACGTCGCACGTCGACCCGAAAAATACGATGTCACGCTCCGCACGGTCTTTGTCAACACTTCGTATGGAGAAGTGTCGATCTATCACGCTCGTAGGGCTGAGATGTGAACGTACGTCGCATAGTCGACAGCTTCACCCCAGAAAAAAATTGGCATGTTGCACGCGAAGATCATCAGCCCCACCATGTTCGGAGCAGTCCTGTGCATTCTTTCTGTCTTGCCGTTGCTTGCCTGATTGCGTGCTTTGCTGATCTAGCGTGCGATCCGACTGTCTGGAAGAAGCGATTGACGTCCTATACTCACATTGTAATGGGTGACCCTTTGTTTGGGGTGCCGCGAAACTTTACGTACACTTGTACGTGCAGAGGAAGCTTATTGACTCGACGGCTAAGCTGAGTAAAGGGTAAAATGAGAACCGTATTTAATATTGTTAAGCTATAAATGTAACTTTTATCTTTATCTAACTACATTTTTGTACTTTTTCTTATGACGACAACATGCTCACCACTCATTGCGCGCGTCTGGCAGTGATTCGTGGTAATACATGGTCGATATATCTTTTATCAACCAGTCTTTGAGCAGCGCAGGAATGTTATTTTAAAAAAGGGGATAATCTTCCTTCAATTTTATCCAACTCGGATAATATTGGCAGGTAATCGTCACGCTAGACAATCTCCCTATATCACCATTTGGTTTCAATATCATGTAACGGGCTACCCCATCACACACCTCCTCCATCGGTGCGCACAACCAAAATCTTGTGCCCGAAGCGTCGCTCGAAAAACGCCAAAAAACATTTGATTTTTTTGCTGCTTGGTTTCTGATGTTGGGCAAGAACACACGACAGTATTTGCTCTTAGGTATCACAAACTCGTCTAAGTAGCGGTTTCCTAAGTTATACTACGGCATTATAGGATCTTTTGAGCTCGAGCAAAGTACTCTTGGATGCGCTCAAATGGAGAGCTCGCGCCGCTGACCTGCTGGCTCTGCGCATTATTCGTCTTTTTGCTCTGGATGCAAGACACGCATGTGAGGCGACGACGGTCGGTGACCTCGATGACTGAGTCCGGGTTGTGTGAGATGCGCTTAATCGTGTCGTAGGATATGTTCTTAAGGCGTTGACGTAAGTAAATCGGCGATTCTACTTGCGTGTCCCTTGCCGGTTCTTTTGCTAGTTCGTCCGCCGTGAGCATAGCCATGATCATATCAACTTTTCCTTTCACACGCCGCACAGTCGCCGTGACGACAAAGAGCGCGTTATTCTTTATCGTGACGTCGAATGCGACTGCTCCGTCGCTTCTTCGCACAAACGATCGAGCACCGCTGCTATATTTAAGGCATTCTGCTTCAGCTACCCCAACAACACGATGTGACAGGATCGCTACGGCGCCAAGAAGACAACGGTGATCTCCACAAAGCGCTTCACATTTAAAGTTATTATACGAAGTTGCACGCTCCTGACATGCGCAATCTCAAACGCGTCGCCGTTTCCCATCGCAAAAGTGTGTCTGCAGCGTTCGGCGTCATGCAGCATCAATACATCAAGGGCCGACTTGATCCTCTATCGAGATTCCAGGCGCTCTCTAAGCCCTCTTACCTACCAACAGCAATACAGGACTCACATTGCTTAATATTGAGCCGCGCGCTTTCAGCGCGTTCGCCACTTGCGCTTCGTCAAAGCCAGAAAACATACTACTTTCTAGCCTGCCCTTTTTTTGGCGCGCAAACTCGCCACCCCCAGTGTTGCTGCTGGCGCTCGATCGGCTATACGCTAAAACGTTCTCGATCGGCTATATGCTTAAACGTGCTCGATCCACCGCTCCCATAATGCTTGCGCGTCTTCTTCCGCTGCACTGGCGCACCTCTGTGTGCCGCAAGAATTTCTTGACCGATCGACATGGCTGTCTCCTCAACGGACAGCGCAGATGCTTATGCTCGGCGGCGTGCCGGAGATGGTTGATTTGATTTGGGTCGTACTTGAATTTTATAGCGAGTATTGGTAACGGTGTTGGTTACTGATACTAATGACCATATGTCATGGACGACACTGTGTGATAGTGTGTAACGATGGGATCGACTCATCGTTTTGTTACTAATATTATAGAGTCGATATCGATAGGCTTAGAGTAGTACAACGAGACGAACTAAGGACCTAGCTAGATGATAATTCACTTTCCATTTTACCTTCTTCTAAGCTCTCCCACCTCAACTCGCTCTTGGCTGTTGCCAAAAGTCAAAAGGTTATGAGCCCAACTACGCCGGATGCGGGCGACATACTCCGCGAAGATAACTACTTCGTGTGGGAGTTCAACGCAAGGATGAGGCTGGCAAAGAAGGGATTGCTAGAGCACCTAGACGCTATGAAGGCCCCAGAAGAAGGAGACGCAAGCGCGTCAACTTGGAAAGTCAACGACATGAAGGCCTTCGCGATTGTGTCCACAATGATCAGCACAAATCTTCAGTCAATGGTGCGCACGGCAGAGACAACGGCAAAAGCATGGGACATACTGAAGACTTTCTTCCTGCGGCAAAGTATGCACAATCGTGTGCAGTTGCGGCGGCAACTACATGAGTTCAAGTTGGCCAAGGGAGGAAGCATCATGGATCACTTCCTGAGATTTGACGAGCTGTGCATGACTATGCAAGCTGTGGGACAAGAGATCTCACAGGATGAGCATTTGGTCATCCTATTGGGTAGTCTAACGAGAGACTATGACCCTATCGTCAAGATAATTGAGAACATGCCCGGAATGACACTGTTTCACGCTAAGGAAATGCTGAGACGGGAGTACGATGGAATGGCGAGGACAGAACACCAAGAAATCGCACTGAAAAGTACGCACACTTCCAAGTACAAGAAAGGTCCGCGCAGACATATGGGGAGATCAAGTTCAAGAGGTGAAAAGTTTTCGGGAAGGTGTTACCGATGTAACAAATATGGGCACAAGCGTCAAGATTGCAAGGCTGAACAAGTGGAGACAGAGCGATCTGGAGAAGAGAGAGCATTTACTGCGTCAAGTCGGACGTCAGCTGGATGGTTATTGGACAGTGGGGCAAGCAGCCACATGTGTCCCGACAGAAATGAGTTTTCAAATTTAAACTCACTGACGGACCCGATCATGATCACCATAGCAGACGGCAGCGAAGTGGAAGCGCAAGGTGTTGGGACAGTGCGCGTGCAACTCAAGACTGGTGAAGTGATCAGGATCGAAGAAACGCTATGGGTGCCGGGCCTAGACCGAAGGCTACTGTCAATATCGGCATTGTCAAAGAGGGGTCTACAAGTGATCTTCTCAGATCTGAGCTGTCAGATCAGAAGTAACACGGAAGTCGTTGCCCAAATACCAAGACGAAACAAGATGTACGTCTTAGAGTGCAGTCCGGCTGAGGTAGCCAACGTTTGCGGAGAGACATCTCAAGAGCAAGAATCAAGTGACGGATCAGGAGCGGCTGATCTACAAGTGTGGCATGCAAGATTAGGTCACCTGTCAACGAAGATGCTCAAGGGTATGGCAGGTTGCGTCAATGGATTAAAGATCAAGAAGAATCAAGGCGTTGAAGATGATATCGAGATCTGCGAAGGGTGCATCATGGGTAAAGCAACCGTCAAGACGTTTCCGAAGTCACCATACGGACACGTGAAAACCAAGGAGGTGTTGCAGTTGGTCCACAGTGATGTCATGGGACCTATGGAATCGAAGTCTCGAGGAGGATCAAGATTTGTCGTGACTTTTATTGATGATTATTCGAGATATATAGTCGCATACTATATTGAGAACAAGTCGGAAGTGACGGATCGCTTTATAGAGTATAAGGCACTTATGGAGAATCAACTGTCCAAGAAGATCAAGTGTATCAGGACGGACAACGGGACGGAATACGTCAACAGACGTTTCTCCGGTGTATGTCGAAAATCTGGTATCATGCATCAGACGACGGTACCCTATTCGCCACAACAGAATGGGCTGGCCGAACGCATGAACAGGACACTGACAGAGCGGGCCAGAGCAATGCTCAGCCATATGCAAGTGGATAAAATTTGGTGGGCTGAGGCGATGAACACGGCAGTCTATGTGACAAACCGAGTTCCATGTGCTAGTCACCCGACTAAAACTCCATTTGAGTTCATCTTCGGGAAGAAGCCTGACCTCTCCGAGATGTGTGTATTTGGATCAAAGGGATATGCACATGTCGACAAGTCGAACAGGACCAAGATGACCAAGAAGGCGATTCGATGTATTTTTCTAGGTTACTCGGATCAAATCAAGGGGCTTCGAATATGGGATGAAGATGCCAAGAGGGTGACGCACACGAGATCGGCTAAATTCGATGAGAGACCACCACTTCAGTACGTGCAACGTTACAGCAGATCAAGTGACCAAGAGTTTCGCGCTGTTCATGACGAAGACACTGTTTCTATCGATTTAGAACAGCCACGAGTCACGAAAGACATGGACATAGCAATGGAGGACAGTCACAGTGTTCAAGAAGAGAGTCACATGCAAGACAGGCGTACAACAACGATGGCTCTACCATCAAGATGCAGTAGCAAGATGCCTGAACACGTGGGTTCCAATGCTGACGATCCAATGTTTGAAATTGATGATGTGACGATGATTGAAGAAGATCAAGAATCGGCTGAAGACGTGTCAAGACAAGGACAGATGGTGATACGACCAAGTCGACAGTTAAGTATTCAAGCATCGCAAGAAACCGCGATGGTTCCACTAGAATCGGTTCAACATGGACAATCTCAAGCGTTAATACCAGTGAATGGTGCTGATGAGGACTTTTATGACGGCTCAGAAGTGTGTCAAGAAAAAGGCACAAAGAGACTACGTATTGGGTATGAGCAAGCATGTGCAGCGTTCAAGACCCCAACGACATACGAAGAAGCTCTTAAGTCACCTCGTCGTGATAATTGGTACAAGGCCATTCAAGCTGAGCTCAAGGCATTAGAGGAAAAGGACACCTGGACTGTTCAAACACAGCGTCCAAACCAGAAAGTGATTGGAACCAAGTGGGTGTTCGCACTCAAACGAAACGAGCTGGGTGAGATTATTCGATACAAGGCACGTCTTGTAGCACTTGGCTACAGGCAGACGTATGGAGTTGACTACATGGAGACATATTCACCTGTGGCAAACCTCAACTCAATACGGGTGTTTTTGGCGGTGTGCTGTCAAAAGGGGATGTTGTTTCATCAATATGATGTCGACACTGCGTTTCTGTATGGCGTTTTGGAAGAAGAGGTATACGTATACCCTCCTCTGGGTGTTCGTGCAGAACATAATCAAGTGCTTAAGCTGAATCGCAGTCTGTATGGGCTGAAACAAGCGGCCGCTACATGGTACAAGACAATTTCGTGTGTGTTTGTGGAGATGGGGTTCTTTTCATGCGTGGCAGACTCATGCATTTTCGTCAAAGAGACCAAGGGCTCGTGGATTTACGCTGCATTATATGTGGACGACCTTCTAATTGGGGCTGAATCTACTGGAGTGATGGAAGATGTGGCAGCTCAACTATCAAGTCGTTTCCAGTTGAAGATACTAGGGGGTGTTCGATACGTTCTTGGAATCGAAGTCAAGTACCTGCGCAACAATCGACGTCTGAAGATCAGTCAAGGATCGTGTATATCAAGAATGGTCGAGAAATTTAATCAAGTTGATGCGAAAGCAGTGTCAAATCCAAGTGTTGAAGGGCAAGCGATGGTCAAGATGGACAAAGCTGACACAAGAATGAAGAATCGACCGTATCGATCGTTAGTGGGGTCGTTGTTGTATGTGGCAACAGGCGCACGACCAGATATTGCGTATACAGTATGTCAGCTGAGTCGTCATTTGGAATTTCCACATGAAGAGCACTGGAATGCAGCGATTCGAGTGTTGCGATATCTGAAGACGACGCAGAGCAAAGGAATTTGTTATGAAGGAGTTTCAGGCAATCTTCAGCTGAGCGCGTACACCGATGCAGACTGGGCAAGTAACAAGTGGAATCGCAGATCGATTTCGGGAGTTTTTATCATGATTAATGGCGCACCTGTGATTTTCAAGTCGAAGATGCAGCAGAGCGTGGCACTGAGCACGGCAGAAGCAGAGTATATGGCTCTTTCTTTATGTGTGCAGGAGGTTCTGTGGACAAGAAGTCTACTCAAGGAGATGCAAGTGCAGATTAACTATGCTGTCAAGATTCACGAAGACAACCAGAGTGCAATCGCTATCGCTAAGAACGACGGCTATCAAAGTCGAGCGAAACATATCGACATCAGATACCATTTTGTGCGCGAACAGGTGAAAGACAAGATTATCGACCTGCAGTATACTGAAACCAAGTCACAGCTGGCAGATTTTCTGACCAAACCGATTTCGACAAAGAAGTTCGAGTCGCTGCTGGACAAGGCCAGGATCAGAGACTTCTAGTCGAGGGGGAGTATTGGTAACGGTGTTGGTTACTGATACTAATGACCATATGTCATGGACGACACTGTGTGATAGTGTGTAACGATGGGATCGACTCATCGTTTTGTTACTAATATTATAGAGTCGATATCGATAGGCTTAGAGTAGTACAACGAGACGAACTAAGGACCTAGCTAGATGATAATTCACTTTCCATTTTACCTTCTTCTAAGCTCTCCCACCTCAACTCGCTCTTGGCTGTTGCCAAAAGTCAAAAGCGAGCACGAGCTCTGCTGACGCGTGACTGAAGAATTTGTTAAGAAAGAGCGTGTCCTCGGCGGCTCTCGCTTCGCGACCGCTACCAGGTACAATAAGTGAATGGGCCACGTGCGCTTGGGTTCCTTCCTCTCTGCGAACAATTTCGTGGCTTAAGCTGCTGTGATGTACGCCATAAACATGGCAAACATCCTATCTATCAGGTAGTCGAGCGTTGGCTGTTCGAGGCAATACGTACGAACATGCTTGAAATAATAGCGCTCGGCAGAGCAGCTCAAATACTGTCCAAGCAAGTCAACTTTATTGCCTAGGTTCTGAGCAACCCGTACGTCGCTTGCGCTGTGTTAACGTTATAAAGGAGCTAGCGTCCCCGATCGTAGAACCCTGAGCCGAGACCGCTGTATAGCTCAGATTCATCAGACTTGCGCAATTTCAGCTTCTGTTGCCGCGCGTCCGGCATCCCGAAGTGTATCAGCTGATGCCCTTACCTCTGTGACTTCGCTGTGGCGTGAGACGTGCCATATGCACCAGCGGCGTGTTCCTTATCCATGGCTGGCATCTAATCTGGCGCAGCTGCTGGTTCACGTGCACGCATTTGCTGCGGCTGCAGCCGCAATACCGGGAAGCGGAGGCCGAGCAAATGGAACGGCGAGTACTCCAGACTCGGCGTCGGATCGCATACAAGCAGATCTATAGCCCGGCGGCTTTCGTTCAGGTTGACCGGTCGCATCAATTCACATATTTGCTGCACCGAGGTGCGCGCCGAGCGTTGATGCGAACAATTCACTTTTGACGGCCCCTCGCATCCGCTCGTCTTAATTGAGCTCAATTTGGCTCGCCTATTTGCGCATTTGCGCGGCGAAAGCCTATCGAGCATCGCAAGAATCGTGTCAACCTTCGCCGGGCTCTTTTTTTGTTGGCCTGCGCATCCTCAACGAAGGCGGCAGTACGCAGCGAACGCTTTGGAAAAGCACACTTCAAGGTAAGGATCTCGCTATGCCTTCTGAACCCGGTGCTGCTTTGGCGTCTTGTGGTCCAGCCATTGGGCTCATAACCTGTACGAAAGGATGGACGTGAAGTGCAATATGTGAATCGATTATCTGTTCATCTCTCGCTTCTTTCAATCTTGCAGTGCTAACTAGCTGTGACCTCTCTACATCAACCACTTTATAACGTCGTCCTCGACTCTACAAACACCTCTCCGCTGTCTCCTATGCGCCGCCTATCGCTAGACAAACATTTTTCTAACGATTGCCGCGTCAAACCTCCTTTCTGGCTAGGCTTAGTCGACGTATGTTTTAACTACTGTGATCTCTCAGCTCTCGCGTGATGCTCATAGCCTGCCGGCAACCGTCGTTACAGCACTACGATAAAAAATCGAAAAATAAGGTAGGTACATCGAAATTAGGATGACATTGTCCGATTCAGATTGGGTAGAGCAAAATTTAAGCCAAAAGTCACATTCCGATCAATCACAACAATTCGCCCGTACGATGATCCCCTCGCAACCGGTACCTTCCACCTCTCTATTCAGATAAAATACGTGGCATCATGTTGCGCCCCGCCTCGACAGCGCTTCCGTCCCACGTACCCGTTAGCCGCAGCCCTACTACACACGTCTCGTCATCTTCTCCTTCAGATCTGACGTCGAGTAGACGCTGGCACTCTAGTAACTGGCTGCTGCTCTTTTACGTCATCCTAACGCTCTATGCAGCTGCAGTGTTTTACTCGTTCGTAATGTACCCGAAGTTTACGCCTCCTTCCGTACGTTTCCAAGAGAACCAGAAGCTTGGAGATGTGTCAACTCTTTTGCTCTTCCGCCATGATAAACTGGACGCGGGTTCCGGTAGCGTCATTCCGATCGCGGAAGAAAAAGTGAATGAACTGGACGTAGCCACTGACAGGACTGAGCTGGAACAGGATGAGACGGCGAACGTTGATTCACTCGAAATTGAGGAAGATGCGGACTTTGTCGAGGAGGTGGTGGGTAGAAACGCAACTTCGCGTTCTCCTGCTAGTGCCAAGCCGTCCGCGATGGCGTCGACAGCACCCTTTGTTTCCTTGGGCCCGGTTGATTTGCAAGGCAGTGGAGCTTTGAACGCTCCCATGCTAGTAGATGGTACAGTCGATTTACCGTCCAACCAACCGCACAGGATCCGGAATTTGAAGTGTGTAGGATGGCGCCAAACTGGAGATTGTAGCGCATCTGGCACGCATGAACCAACATTGGACATGGATTGCAATCAGAGTCTTCACGCTGGTCTTTCTGGGTATTGTGAGATGCTGGACAAAGATACAGGCGAATCTATCCGCGTCATGGAACTCAACTGTTCGACTTTGCGTGACCGTGTAGTGTTTTCGTGTGCACAAGCCACCGAATTCCCTAATATTGGACTCCTGGCCCAGAATGTTTACGAAAATGCTTTGGCTCAAAATACAACGGACCCATCGAAACTGCTTGGAAACCTTGGCACCGGCGACGGCGTCGTCATGGTCGTGTACCCGAAACTGGCAGCAAGTGTATTTGCGTCGGTCAACGTCTTACGATCGTATAATTGCACACTGCCAATTGAGCTATGGATTTTGCAATCTGAAGCGACGCACACTCCAAGCATGGGCGCAGCTTTGAAAGCGTTGCAGCAGCGGTTTTCGGATGTGACAGTGGAAACCATAATCGATCCGACAATTGTGAGGTTTTCCACTAAAATTTACGCTATTCAACACAGCAAGTTCGAGAATGTATTGTTTCTTGACGCTGACAATGTGCCTGTGCGTGACCCAACGTTTCTGTTCAGTAGTCAAGAATATCTCGAGCACGGTGCTGTCTTTTGGCCGGACTTCTGGCACCCGGATAATACCATGTTCGGCATCCACCGCAAGTCTTTGTTGTGGACATTGGTCGACCTTCCATTTGTTGACATGTTTGAGCAAGAGAGTGGGCAAATACTCATCAATCGGAAGCGGGCTGCGCTCGCACTTGAGGTGCTTGCGTTTTTTGCGTCACATTACCCCAACTACTTCAACCGCCTCAACCTGGCCTATGGCGACAAGGATCTCTACCGACTGGCCTGGATGAAAGCACACGCGTCCTTTTATATGATGCCATTCCTACCTGCTTCGGCAGGTTCTGTGTTGGGAACGAACTCGAAAATCTTCTGTGGCATGACTATGGTCCAGTTTGACTTCGATGGCGATGTACTATTCCTTCATCGCAACGCCAAAAAGCTTGGCAGTTCGGTCGATCATCATGATTCGCCGTTATGGACCCATTTGCAGACGTTCAAGTGGGAGCGACCGTTAGCAGGTGACGATGATGCCACTACATCGAATCTGACGGCAGTGCAGCGCATGCGAAGTTACGAGGACGTGAAGCAGATGTTTCGCATTACTTTCCGAGGGAAAGACAAACGTTTCAAGGAGATTGATTTTTGCTACGGCGCAACCCTTGACTTTGTGGAGAACTTTGAACTTACTAGGTTTGAAGACTTACCCTTCGCTAACTTAGAGCAGGAGCTAATCGGTTATGCACACGAGGCTCAACTCTTGATGGCTTAGCCCTAGAATTCCCTCACTATCCCCGAAACGATAGTCGCTCGTCTTGAATCACGCGCAACCAAGTGCCTGAGTCCAGTGCCTCATCAAGAGCCACCTCAACGCTGACTGATCGCGTTGTGGCCAACGACTTTGATCGCCACGAGCCATTGGCACTCGTGCTGCTCTCTACGTCTAGTAATCTGCTGCACTCTGTGGCTGGTGCTGCCGCCCTTTCGCTCTTTGGTGCTTCCGGCTATAGACGCGGAACAAGTTGTCGACTTCCGGACGCTCCTGGAGCCCTTGCGAGAAAGTGATTGCGACGTTGGGCAGACGCTTTGATGCGCTCTCACCACGCCTCTTACTACCTGTCTGAAGCGCAATCAGAGGCATTGGATGAAGATGCTTTGCCCGTATTGGACGTCTTGGTTGACCCTTTGAACGGCATGCGCGCTCAGTTTCAGCACTACGTCAAGAACGAAGCCAGCCAAGTCTTTGACCCGATGATTTCCGTATTCCTCTATCTGTACAAAGCTACATCAACCCATTTTTTTCATGAGGACACCAGCACTCGTTCAGGGTTACCGGGCGATTGGCAAGAGTACCTGATGCAGCAATGGACGCGATCCAAAGAGGAAATGGAAGCGTTCCTACCCGAGGTTTTCATCGGCAGACTGATCTATGCCGTAATTGTTTGCCACCCAAAGATGACCACATGGATACCATATTTGAGGAGTTCAAGCAAAGTCGTGAATGGCGTCGAATGTGCGAGCTGCAGTTACCATGTGGATCAAGAAGAAGCTGAGGTTGGCGCAGCGACGAGAGCTTCTGCATTGGACATCGTCGCCGATAACGTTGCTTCTGCAGCTCCCATGCTTCCTGGTGCGATCCGAATGAAATTAATACTAGCTTACCTGCTGCTGCTACCACGCGCAAGCGAGGCGCCATTTATCGATGCAGTAGCACAAGCAGCAATGCGAAAGATGCGCAAGTGACATAACAGCTTGTAGCAGTTAGGCTCGATAGATTCGCTGCATGATTTAGTATAGGACATATCTGCATTGTGCGGTAGACCGTGTACAGAACTGAGTAGGGAGTAAATCAGGAAGGCGTCGTCAACATTATTGAAGTGCTAGAATGGTAAAATTTACATTCGAACACTGCGTTTAGAGTCACACTTTAAGAAGGAAGTGTAAGCTCAACAGTTTGGAGTTGGACAACATGACGTCGTGCCTTTAGACCGCGGGCGTTGATCTTCCGAAGTGGACGGATGTTGCATTAAGATGGTGTCAAGTCGGAGGGCGTCGGTGAGAGTCGCTGGATGGCTTAAGTGTACATTGACCGACATTGCGGGCTTAATAAGTGACGCTTGACTCCCTCGCGACGTTCATAAACCGTCGGACGAGGTGACAGTTGTGCACTTGTGGAATAAAAGCTTCTGGTTTAAGTGACATGTACAGTTGCCTGAGTGATGACGAACAAATGCAACTATAAGACAGCACGCCATACGTCGGTTCAGTACAGATAAACACATAGAAGAAATGGTCACAAGGCGGCAAAACGGTGTAGTGTCGCATCCTGTCTAAACCTTTCCAAAACAGTTTCAAATCGAGAAATCTAAAGTGTCAAGATAACAGCTTGAATGAGTGCAACCCTCTGGTGCGTCGAAGTCGAGTAAATTGCAAGCAAGCTCGTTGTTGCACATGATTTTCATACAACCACAAATTAATTTGCACTAAATGCAAAGCGCATCGAAATACTTCACTTTTTAGGTCGTCTCCTGATGCCCAAAAAAAACTTTAACCGACAGTCGCTTCTTGCCAGCTTTGTACAAAAACGAGAACACGAACCTCCTCAATTGGTCCCGGTCACTTCTTTTCATCCAATTAGAACCACGCATCTCCTCCGCTCCAGTCATTCCTCCAGCCATCCGTCCATCGCCTGACCTCCTCCGATCGCCATGGCGTCCGGAGACCCGCGCGCCGCCACGATCGCTCTGGCCCGCAACTTGCTCTCGTCCGTGCTCTCCTTAGCCTTGCCAAGTGAATCTGAAAGTGACAGTGCGTCTCTACGCTCGTTCCTGACGCAGCAATTGCCGCCTCTACGTGAAGCTCTCGAGCGCCACAACGTCTTGGGACTCGTGACGGACGGGAAAGCCTTGACGAAATGGCACTTGAAGCTGCTGCAGCTCATAGGAGGATCTAATGTATCGCGTTGTGTGGGCTGGAAACTGATGCTGACGACGACGCGTCAGAGCTCGCTGGAACGACTGGAAACGCTGGCTGTCGAGCTGCTGGAAAGAGTCGGGAAGCTCTTGAAGCAGCTGCTGTCTAGCAAGGAAGAGGACGAAGAAATACAAGATGCCACTGCTGCTGCGTGTGGTGTCGCTGAAGTGCTGCTGCGTCATGTGGACAGGTATAACCCGGACATTCGTCGTGAGGTGCTGGAGCACCAGGCCAAGCTGGTACAGCCGCTGGTGGCGCTTCTTCAGAGTAAACGTGAAGGCAGCAAGATGAAGGTTGTGGTAATTGCAGCTTTTGACTTGGTTGCCACACTCTTGCGCGCGTCTCCGAATTCGTTGAGGACGTATGCAGTAAAGATCGAGTCTGCGTGTGCGGTTGCACTATTTCCTGATGGTCGTGAAGACGGAAACAATGAGGTCGTGGCTGAGAAAGCTGTTGTGTGTCTGGCGTTACTGTGTAACGCGTCTGACAAGCCGCAGCAGGTATGGATGTCGATGGCTCAAAAAGCGTTGGAAGCTGCGCACCAGCAGCTGGATTTGTTTGCGAGCAAGCGCTTGACGGTGCCTTCCACCGACGCGATGGCGGGAAAAAAGTTATGGGTGCGGGGAGCGGCAAGTCAGCATTTAGCAACGTACCATCGTGCAGAAGCGACGCTCGTTAGGATGGTCAGTGCAGTGAGTGCACTGTGTGAACTACTGAACGCACGCACTGCAATAGCAAGTCGTGGACAGATCTCTGAGCGCGAGGCGCAACAGATCCTACCTGAAATCGTGTTATTTGCTCGGCGCGCTATGGGTGTTCGTGCGCACGAAGTGGGCAAGCACACGGGTGTATCAGATGATGGCGTGCGCCTTCCGGTGAGTGTCATATATGCCATGATTCCGCGTGTTTATGTCCAAGCTCTGCGTGCCTTGAGTGCATCTGTCGAACGCACTGGACTCTGTGCTTTGCGCCATGCTAGCAAGATCACACGCGTTCTTTTACTTGCTTCTGAAAATGTGGGTGATGGAGAAGATTTGCAGGCCTTGGCAGATACTACGGCGGTTTGTGTGCGCCATCTGGGTGCTAGCACTGTTGAAAAGTTTGGTGTGTCTTTGCTGAATGAGTTGGCCACGCGTTGTAAGCGCAGTCTGGATGAGACAACAAGTGCTACCAAACCGACAAACAATCTGGTTGCGAAGCTTGCAGTGCAGCAAGCGGACATGAAGAATAATGGCAACAAGAGCAAGAAGCGGAAACGTCAGGCGGCTGCTGCCGCAACTATTGCTGCACTGAATGGAGGGAACACGTTTGCAGGCCAGACAGCTTTCGTGTCGATGCGTGACGAGGCTTTTGTGACGCAGACCCTCAAGGCAGTTATAACAGCTGTCGCTGGTTGTGTGAGTGTGTATGGATGTCTGCTACCAGAGGATTGCCGTTCATCGGTTCGAGGACTGATGCTCGAAGCGGCCCAGCACCGGCACAAGCTTGGGTCAGGTCACAATTGTGGCGAGTTTGACCCCGTAGCGGTAGCACTTTTGTCAGACGCAGTGACTGCCGATGCCGCAGGCTCACACGCTGCCAATCTGCTTTATGGTATTCAGTACTGGCAGCGCCGCAGTATTTGTAGTGGCGGATCTTTGTCGGCGCTTCAGCAGATAGCACTGAATGTTGGTGAGGCGATGTTGCACCCGCGCGCACCTCCATTGACCATCAACTTTGAACAAGGTGTCAGCAAGGAGCAGAAACACGATGGATTTCGTGGACCTAATTTGAAAGCGGTGGTGGGGTCCACTGCTTCGGAAGATGCCATGGAATGGGATGGAAGTGAGCACGATGACAGTGGTGACGAAGGTGCGGATGATGGAGAACGAATAGCGAAGGAGGAGTCGACTGAGTCGATTGAGCCTGCTATTGTGGACGACGAAGAGGATGAGGACTACGATGATGCCCGTCCGCAAGATTCAATAGAGGAACCGATGGAGGTTGGTATAGAGGAGGAAGAGAGCAAAATAGATGACGAAGACGAGGAGGATGAGACGTTAGTAGAGCTCGGTCGGAACTGCGCGGACGTCGAGAAAGTGTCAAACGCCATTAACGGGGCCCACGGCGGTGAGGATGACGATGACGATGATGACTTCCCTGACATTGTTGTCGACGATGACTAGGAGCGCAAGTTGCTTTTGCACTTAGCGTGTTTGGTTCTGACAGTAGGTAGCTAGACGCTGTATCTAGAATTGTTCGATTCGCTACGACGTACAGGTGCTATCAACACCAAATGATAAATTTTTCGATTGACTCGATGCACTACGAACACAGAAAAGTTCCTAAACGCTTTGGTGAGGTCCGTCATCTTCATGAGCGCCTGCTAGAAGCAGCGGTGAATAAACAGAAGCGTCTGCACTCAGCAACAAGTCTCGATCATCGTCACTTGTACTCAACTTCATCCGACCGTTACCAATACAACTCCTTCCGGCCTCAGCTTCCACAGAAGAAGAGCTGCGTTGCACCAGCAACCCGACGCCTAGTGCAATAGCAAGCAATGCCACCGGGTAAAACACCTTGTCTGTCGTTGATATCGGCTCGTTGTCATTCTGGTAAAAGACTGCACCGCCAACAACACTAAAGGTGATCCAACAAGCTTGGAATATTGGGAACACGGTCATGATGTCTCCTGATGATGTAGCCATGTTGAGAAAATGCGTCTGCACGAGGATGCACACGAACATGCCACCCAAGAAAATATACGTCAGGCCATACTTGAACTGGTTGTCACCCTTGAGAGTGAGGGCGATCGTAATGGCGGAGCACTTGGCTAGTAGCACTGTCATCGCACCCACGATACCTGAGCATACAGCATAGTAGTAGGGAACCCTGGACGTAGATTTTCCAACCACAGCTTCACCATTTACATCCGCATCCTCCGCACTGGTAGAATCAATCAGCTCGCGCAGGTCCGTGCTCATGGCAGGAGGATCCACAAGACCAACTGGGAGCACGGAAGCCGACGTACTGACTTGCAGCAGCTTCACTTCCATATCCAGCAGCCGCTGCTCAAGTCTCTGGACTCGGAGGTCAAATTGCTGCACAGATAACATCATGGAAGATACGACATGTTTAAGGACGAGCAACATAGATCATCACACAATGGTCTTTATCATGACAAACCTTCAGGAGCTTCTTTTGGCGTTTGTTCGACCAGTCCACCTGGTTTTTGAGTCTATTCGCTACTGAGCCTTTGATCGTCGCCAACATACTCACGGCACACACGCCAACGCAAGTGATGTACACCACGAAAGCTGCAACATACAACCCAACAAAATACACCGTCACCAATAAAAGAAGGCGATCTGCCGCATACTCCTACACTCCATTCGTGCATCCAAAATCCATCAACGTACGCGTTCTGACGAACCTCAACTCGAGCTCTGGCAGCGGGTACTCGACATTTGGTTCCGCGATACACGCAATGATTACCACTCCAGCGATCACAAACAGCACGCCGCCAACATCTGTCTATAAATAACCAGACGGAAATCAAGAAATTTCTCAGGAATAAGTACGGAAAAAGAAAAGAAAAAAGAAGAAATTGCAAAAATCAAAGAAGAAGAAGAAGAGGCCGCTTGATCGCGACCATGTTGGTATAAGAACTGCCGCTCCTCACCTGATCCAGTCTTTCTCCATTGAGACGCTGAGCAGTTACCACATTGGCCACGAGTGTCGCACCCCCTCCCAAAGCCGCCACGAGTGACTGGGTGGCAAAGCCAAAGGCTGCAAAGTCGCCCAAGCTTCCGAGCACGACGAGCGCGAGGCCCGACCACCACACAGGGCAGCGAATGTAAGGTCGACGCGCGGCCGTGGGTCGGAGGGCCTCGCTTAAGTGCGAATATTTCTGGATGTTTACGCCTAAATTCGAGACGATGGAGGCCACGACGGCCAGGCCAGCACCGAAGGCCTCCCACGAATGCATTTCGACGGATTCGAGGCACACGTGACGAGGGTGCCTCTTGTTGACTTGCGTTCACTATGCGATGAGGTGGGGTGCATGGTGTGCGCCACTTTAAGCTGGAGATTTTCGGGTTATTTGAGTCGAGTTTGACTCTGTGCAAGTTGCGAGTGACAAATGCAGCAGCGGACCCTGCGCGTTGAAGTGAATGGGTACGACGCAAGAACCACAGCGGACCAATTGTGATTAGTTCTAGTTCAGGAGAGCAGCTGGGCGAGATCACTGGAGGTGACTATGCTCAAGTCTGTTTTAGGTGCTAGTCTGGAGCGGGGGTGGTGTGCTAGATGAATTGGCTACGTTGGCTTAAGTGAGCTTTGTACGAAATAAGTACCAGGCAGGTGGCGATCAGCGCATCGACAATGAAGTCTAAGCGTAAGAAGAGCCGGTAAATGGGTTGTCAGCAAAGCGCAAAGTCAGGTTTGACGTGCACATAGTCATACAATCACCAGGGCGAGAGGAGACGGTGTATCTTCAGCATGTAGGCAGTGGCAGACAAGAGCAGTCGCTGTTGTTTTGGCATTATCGTCCGGTTTACCACAGGTGCGTCTTCGAACGAGACGATGACGGTAACAAGCAGAATGCATTCACTTGTCCATGTGCTCTACCTGACGACTACGAAATTGTCGGCAGCATTGCGTGAGACTCCGTAGTATTCGAAAAACGGATGTCCTACAAGAGCAACACATATGAAACGAGCTGCTCGAACAGGATGCACCCGTTCTCGTCATCTATCGTCGTAGTGAGCTTTTGCACAAAGTGTTGCTGCTCCTACAAGCGAAAGAGGTCACACGTCTGACTGAATTATCGATACAACTTTCAATGATCACCAAGGGATCGGAAGCGCATCAATGAGGCAGCAGTGTCATCCTGGAACAGTGGGAGAAAGCAACACGAGAGTGCCACAACATAGGCAAGAGAGGATCATGCAGAGTTGCTTACCACAGCTCCAAGAGAAGGAAGGCAATACCGAGCAAACAAGTACGAGGTCGCGCAATGTCTGCTATAAACTGAGTATATCCTCCAAGTTCGATTCGAGACTGACTCACGTCGTCACCGCTGTCCCGCACTGGGTGTGTCTATTGCTGAACACCAGCTCCAGCCTGGTCCATGATGTCCTTCTCCACCTGCGCCATCTTGACGCCCAATGAGCTGTAGGCTTCCATGTACTTGCCCGCACAGCGGTCGATGCAGCTCATCTCGCCCACGTTGAGCTGGCCGTCGTTGTACTTGAACTTGCACTTGTGGAAGCACACGCGTGACAGGCGCTCGAACAGATCCGCGTAAGAGGCCATTTCGACCTTTGCCATCATGAGCTGCGACTGCTGGGACGACTGCTGCGAAGCGCTTGACGCAGCGCCGCCGTTCATTAAACCTCCAAAATTCATGTCGCTAGTGCGATAATTTGGTACTGGGAGGACGGTGGAAAGTGGACGGCCAATCGCATTGGTTAAGTACGGAAGTTATCCTCCATAGTGGATGTAAGTCGAATGTCGACTGTCTGCTATTGTCTCATTAAGACGAATTTTGTTTTGACAAAAGGTGCGATTAAATTGATATTCTCAAAGTTTGAGACAGGAAACCTGAATTAGCGTTGCACCTCTCTGCTAGAACGCGAATGTACAGATTCGCATCGGGCTCATTGCCGTTGTCGCCATTTGTTCTTTTGACCGATTTGGTGTCAGCAATTATTGCACAACATCAGGACAAAGTAGACTCCATTTGGCAGATTGGTTGGTGTCAGCCGTTCTGTTATCATCAACTGCTTAGACGAAAGACTAGTTGAGGTCTACTGAACACGGTCGTCTTTGCAAGGTCAATCTCGATATCAATCGATAGAGAAATTCAACGATGCGGATGTGGAAAGTGCACTTGCTGCATGATGAAGCAACTGACGTGGTTATAGATATTGGACTTGAATGCGTGGATTACATAGCAGCATATTGCACCGCGCAATTCGATGTAGAGAAGGTTGTCGTCCAACCACACTTACCGTTTTGCTTCGTATACTTGTGAAAGTGTGGACACGCTCCTGTCTCCTTGCTGGTAAGATCAGTGTAGATCGAAGCTGATTTTTTTTGCTGGTCAAATAGGCTAAATGTTCGTCTGAGGTAAGGTATGCGGACTTATCGAGGTTAGGCAGTCACATGCATTTTAAAAAAATTTGGTGACCCGATGGTCCTATCTCCCGTTCACAATCTTTCATCAAACACGGCAAGTGCTATTTCCTGTCACAGCCAACAGAATAGATTTGTCGTTCTGATGCTATGATGTTGTAATAACACCAACAACATGGAGTGTTATGCGGTTGAAGCCAGGATTACCAATGTTGCGATCAACACACGTGAGAGGGGCCCACAATTGCGCATAAATCTTAGATTGAAGCGCGTTTATACCGTGAATGATGGAGGTCATAACGCTGCTCGTATATGATGATGACAAAAACAGATAAGAACATGCGGTGGGGGCACCAAGTTAGTTATTCTTAACATCACCGAGTCAAGTAAGAGCCAAGTATCCGACTTCCAAGTTTTTCATCCACTGCATACTGAACCAAAGCCTTGCACACTTCCTTCTCTCTGTAGGACAATAAATTTGGCGCGTCGAATATTCTCAAGACCGTCTCGTGCGAGTCGTTATGCTAACCATACTATTGGATGAGCGTAAGATGCCGTTCTATGTATCGAAATGCTTGTATGCAAATGTATACACATTGTCATAATGTCAATGTCAAGAGAAACGCGCTTGTATTCTTGCCCTACAGCTCATGAAATGGCAAGCGCCTGATTTTATGTTTTTTCTCACGACAAAAATCATTTTTCAGTTGCATTGGAAGTGACAGCGCGTGTTCTGCTATCGATTTTGTTGGTGACAGCACGCTTAAAATTCCAATGTCCTTCTTGACCCATCGGATTAACAAAAGATAATCTATGAATAGAATTCATCCGATGAGCTTCTGTCTTGGAGTTGTTAAACGCGTCTAGCATTGCTCCCAGAAGCGGATCTAAGGTTCATAATCGATATGTAGTAAAGCGCGCCTCACACTTTCATTTTGCTTCTACTTTGTTGTAACGGGGTGAATCGTTACATAACAATTTATAAGAAATTGTTAATAGAATATAACTATAAGAGTTATATTCTCAGAATATTGTCATAAGGACAATATTCTGTAGCACTTCCAAGTAGTTCCTAATTGGTTGATATAGGCCATTATATCAACCAACGAAGACGCGCCACGACAGACGCACGCAATGAGTGGTGAGCAGATAACTGATTTACACATTTGTATTTAGACATAGTTAGATGAAGATAAATAGTGATTTATTGCAGACATTAACTATTATAAATACAGTTCTACTTTTTACTCTAACCGAGTACTCGCTTCTTCTTACCGTCTTCCTCTGCACGTACGAGTGTACGTGAAGTTACGAGGCACCGCCTTATTCTGTTATCAGAATAAGTAGCTTGTACTGTCACCAGTACAAGCTTCAGGGTGCCCCGTTACACCTGGTAGCACTTCGTAGTCCGTCCAAGGACCGCGTTCACATCCAACATGAATATGTTGGATGATGAAGATGACCAAAGCTTTCACGCTACGCGTGACGGCTACTCCCATTTGAGCGATGTCGAATGGGATGCGGTTGAACGAATGGGTTCGACCATGGGCATCCATGCTGTTAGCGTCATGCTAGAGGCTCTCAATAGAGATGCCCAACATGCTACTATCGCCAAGTTCATTCAAAATGAACTTGACGCAGAACGCGAGAAAGTAGCCTTGCTTCACCAACAAGGTTCTCAACAAGCAGAGTTGTTGAGAGAACAAGGTGCTCAACAGTTTGAACTGTTGAGACAGCAGCAAGCTGCTGCTGGCGGGTCGATGCACTCGCGTCGACCCGAGACTTTGAAGATTGACATCTCAAAGTATAGGGGGGTCGAAGAAGACTCCCTCTTGAGATGGTTCGTCGAATTGGATGACGCCATAAGGGCGCGTCGCATCGACGACGGAGATATGCAAGTTGCATTTGCCCAGTCAAATCTGGCAGGACGTGCCAAGACTTGGGCACTGGGGCTCAAGCTGCACGACCCATATGCGTTTGGGTCGTTGGAAGTCTTCAAGTCGCGGCTCAGACAAACGTTTGAACCGCCTAGAGCTGAGTTCAGAGCTCGAACCGAACTCTTGAAGCTCAAGCAGGGTAAGCGTGATGTGCACGCTTACGCTCAACATATACGACATCTCACGAGTTGTATAAGTTCCAATCCGGTGGATGAACACACGTTGGTTTCGGTGTTCATGCAGGGTCTTGCGGATGGTCCCGTCAAGACTCACCTGTTCCGGCTTGAACTAGATTCACTAGAACAAGCCATTTCCATTGCGGAGCAGGAAGACTTCAGTCTGAGACAGGCTCGCGCCAGCTCGACATCATATCGTCAACCGAGACGATATGACAACGGAGGTCCAGAGCCGATGGAACTCTGTTATGTAGAGAGCGAGAAGGCTCGCTCTACAGGCTACAAGAAGTTGCAGAGATGCAACAGATGTCAAAAGACAGGACACTACGCTTACGAGTGTAGTGCCCCTCGTCCAGTGTCTCGCGACACTGGGCGTAGTGACCGTCCACCCATGAGAAAGGGGCAGGGACGAGGGTCCGCAGTTGGTGCAAAGACGCAACAACGGGATGGACCGTCAAAAAACGGTCAGGATCAGTAGGTGCGGAGCACCCTACTGATCCAGCAACGTCAAGAGAATTTGTAGGCCTCTTGATGAAGGTTGCTCCCAACACACAGACATTGTGCGTTGCTGCTCTAGGTAATGAGATCTCACTCATTACCTTGAAACTCGAAGTGACGAATAAGTTGTCCCTTCGAGCTCTAGTCGATTGTGGGGCGTCCAACAATTTTGTGCGACGCCAATCGCTAGAAGATGGTCACTTTAAATTCAGTGAATGTGACACACCTCCTACGAGGATGACGGTACGTCTTGCGACAGGCGCATCCGTAACCGTCATGAAGCGTATAGTGAAGATTCACTATACGCTAGAAGATACCCAATACGACGATGACTTTATCGTATTGGATTTGGATGACAAATTTGATGTCATCCTTGGAATACCGTGGCTCAGAAGGTACGAACCACGGGTAAACTGGCAACATCGGACAGTAACGATGCCTGCCGCTTGTTCATCAGATGGCCATCTGATGAACGTTTTGGAGCGTCCACAAGCGTGTGGATGTACTACGAGTGAGTGCGATGGCCTCACTTGTGGTACGGTCGTTAGTACGACTGCACAAAACCTTAGTGTACCAAACGGTTACACTTCGGAGCAAAGTTCCGGCGGCTGTGAGGAAACACAGGCTGCGCCGAAGGTCCACCACTCGAATAAGTCGGGTGGACTGGGACAAAGATGTATCCCTAGAGGGGAACATCTAGAAGATAAACAATCGATCGCTCAGGTTAAGCGAAACGATAATCCTAGATCGACTGGAGAGTCTTTCGTAGAGGATCTCGCTGTGGTTGCGCAACCCCAGCTAGAGGAAGTAAAGGGAATAAGTCCCAAGATTACAAATACGGCGGAAATAAGTTCCCCGAAACCCGCGGGAATAAGTCCCCGGGAAGACGAAGGAATAAGTCCTTCGAAGCCTGAGGGAATAAGTCCCCAGGAAATGACAGAGACATTGAATGTCATAGTCAATAACGGATCATGTGTAGGCGCTTATACACTTGATCTGATTGCGCCTCCGAAGTTAACTTCGGAGATCACTCAGTTGCCAACGCTCGAACATAAAAGATTCTTGCGTGATCTGCGTAGTGGCAAAGTCAAGCAGATCTGCATACTCGTCGCTGAAGACGAGTATGTAACCGACATAAGGTCAGCAACAGTGTTTACTGAGAACGAGAGAGTTCTCAGTAGTTCATCTATGGACGAGAGTGCCCTAGATGAAAAGACACGAATTGAGCGATATGAGTCCCAATCATGGGAATCGCTCAAGGAAAATCCTCTCTATGAAGATTTGGTTGAATTCAAGGATGTATTCCCTGAAACTGTTCCGTGCGAATTACCGAAGGATAAAGGTATTCGACACGAAGTCGAGCTTAAACCAGGCTCGAAGTACTGTGTCATGAAGCAGTGGCCACTGCCTCGTGAACAAGTACTTGCGATCGATAAGTTCTTTGCCGATCGTTTAGCAGCGGGCCATGTGAGGGAATCAACTTCCCCACATAGCTCTCCGACCTTCTGTGTGCGAAAAGCAACAGGAGGGTGGCGGATAGTGCACGCGTTTAACAAATTGAACGCTGCAACGGTACCGGCTCAGACGCCGATACCGAGGAAGGACGTAATCATTGATGGTATGTCAAAGAGTACCATCTTTTCGTCCATGGATTTGATGGATGGCTTCTATCAAATCCTAATGCGGGAACGGGATATACCCTATACCGCAGTTAGCACGCCTAGCGGCATGCTCTGGGAATGGCTAGTAATGCCACAAGGGCTCAGTAATGCCCCTGCCACGTTCAACAGGTGTGTATCACATCTGTTGAGGCCAGTACGAGAATTCGCGCCGAGTTATTTCGATGACGTATTCATCCATAGTCGAGCTATGGATGGAAAGTCGGACGTTGAGGTTCACAAGTACCACGTCCGACAAGTTCTTACAATCATGCGAAAGCATCAATTGTATGCAAACCTCAAGAAGTGTATATTTGCAGCAAGCGAAATACCACTTCTTGGGTGCATCGTTGGTAAGAACGGTGTACGTCCTGATCCCGAAAAGATCAAGGCGATCACCGACTGGCCCGTGCCGGTCGATGTCAAAGGTCTTCGAAAATTCCTTGGGCTAGCGGCGTATTTGCATAAGTATTCACGCAATTACGCCGAGATGACTGTACACCTCTCTCGTTTGTTGAAAAAGAACGAGAGGTGGTTATGGAACGCTGAATGTCAACGCTCCTTTGAGGGTATCAAGCAGAGCTTGATACAATCCCCAGTCCTAGCAATAGCCGATCAGGACAGGCCATTTCATGTGGTCTGTGATGCCAGCGATTTCGCAATCGGCTGTGCATTAATGCAGTACGACCTTGAAGGCGTTGAACGCGTCGTCTGCTATCAGTCGCGTCAGCTGCAACCAGCTGAGCGGAACTATCCAGTGCATGACAAGGAACTCCTTGCCATGAAGTATGCACTCGCGAAGTTCAGAGTCTATCTATTAGGAGATAGACCCTTCGTTGTTTACACTGACCATGCGTCCTTACGCACGGCAGTGAACAGCCCGCACCTTTCACAACGAATGGCGCGGTGGTTGTCATTCTTTGCAGAATACAACTTTACGGTCGAGTACAAACCAGGACGACTTAATGTCGTCGCTGATGCACTCTCACGTCGTCCCGACTTTGAAACAGTCGCGAAACCCAACAGTGAGACAGTCACTGTTGCGGTTATGACGTCCTCAGTTCCATCTACAACGTTGTATGATGATGTGAGGCGGGCATACGCCCAAGATGGTGAGATAGTGAAGTTGTTGTCACATCTCTCCCAACCATCTCGAGAACCGTTGAAACGATTGTCGTCTGCGTATCGATCTGCATCAGATCGATACACTACTCGTAACGGCTTACTGTACTATACAGCCGTTTCTGGTGACACACCACGTGTTGTCATTCCAGATGATACTGATCTGCGTTTGCGGATCATGTTCGAGTATCACGATGCTCCTATAGGAGGACATCGTGGCCGAGAGAAAACATATCTCACGGTAAGTCGAGACTTTTACTGGCCCCGCCAGTATCAGTTTGTGCGAAAGTATGTTCGCGCATGCGAAGTCTGCCAACGAGTGAAGTCAAGTCCTTCACTGCGTGCACCTTTACAGCCTCTACCGGTTCCGGCTGAGTGCTGGGAATCCATCTCAATGGATTTCGTCTTCGGGTTACCCAAAGACGCACGCGGGAATACGGGTATTCTCGTATTTGTTGACAGATTCAGCAAAATGGTACACCTTGTGGCTGTACCAGAGACAATCACGGCAAGTGGCTGTGCTTGTGTCTTTATTGACACCATCTTCCGACTTCATGGGTTGCCCCGTGAACTCGTATCAGACAGAGATCCACGATTCACTGCTGATTTCTGGCGTTCCGTGTTCAAATCACTCGGAACGCGCTTGAAGATGTCAACATCTGATCATCCAGAGTCAGATGGTCAGACGGAACGTGCCAATCGTGTCCTTGAAGAGATACTTCGAGGATACGTACACTCCTTTAAGAATTGGAGTGAGTTTTTGCCGATGGTAGAGTTTGCCATCAACAACTCGGTGCATGCGTCCACGAGACATACACCGTTTTACGTGAATGGCTTGCGCCATCCGCGTGTACCCACCTTACTAGAGTGTAACTCTGGTTTAAGGGGGGGAGGGACTCGCGCGAGCAAAAACCGATTTGGTTCACGCTCATCACGCTCTGACGAAGAAGTCATTGCGTTTGATGCCGATATCGATAACATCGATATCGAAGAAGATGATGCCAGTGAGAGTGCGGAAGCCCTCACTGAAGACAATGATCCCAGTGAGAGTGCGGAAGCCCTCACTGAAGAAAAGGTTGTTGTTGCTGCAGTGCGCTCACAGCACACTGAAGCTAACGAGTCATCAGATGAGTTCATACTGGCTCGTGAAACGGTAGTCCGTTTTGTGCAAGACCTCATCGCCGAAGCGGTGGATAAGCAAAAGCAAAACGCTGACAAGAATGGAAGGGCAAACACTCTTTTATTTAATAAAGGTGACTTAGTCCTACTGTCTACGGTTAATCTACCAAAACATGTAGTGACTAACTTGGGTAGCAGTAAACTACTACCCAAGTACATTGGCCCATTTCGTGTATTGCACCGCCTAGGCAATGCATACACGATCGAGTTACCACGTAAGATGCGAACGCATCCCACGTTTTACGTTGGTCGGCTTAAGCCGTACCATCAGTACGCTGCTTCTTCCGATGAAGAACGCCCTTGCGCTCAAGCATCTCGCAGAAAGCCTTGTGCTCCCGATGGTGGGCATCAACAAGGGTCTGAAGAGCAGTTATCTCAGCCCGAGACCGATCAACAATCCCACGAGCTACCCTTAGCTCGTCACGAAGAGATGTCAGAGATCTCTCGTTCTCAAGCTGAGCAAAGGCAAACTCAGCTCGATGCTTCGAGGCAGTGTCCACCATCTGGAGACGCCTATTCCGCTCATGCTCGAGATCGTCGCGTAACCCTTGCGTTACGCGATCAAAGAAGCTCTCGGGAACACACCGATCCACATGATCGTGTGGAGAGCGTCTTTCCTCCTCCTCCACCTCCATTAGAGGACTCTCGCGGTGGCCAGCGCTATCTAGTAGAGCAGCTGTTGAACCACCGCGACGTGAACGGACGTCGGACGAGTTACCTCGTCCGGTGGCGCGGCTATCCCCCGTCCTGGGATTCTTGGGAGCCCCGCTCCCAATTGATGGTTGACGTACTGGGTCTGGTCGAGCAGTACGACGCGACACATCCTGTGCCGCAGAAGGACCGCCGGAGAAAGTCTTCCCGGCACGGTCGTAAAGGGATTTCAGGTTGTCAATCCCTTCGTACATCTCAGTAGAGACACGTACGCGCCACCACGGGCTGGTAAGGAGGTAAGCCTCCTTAGGTGCTCGTGCAGAGTTGTTCACACAACATGGGCACGAGTCTCCCCAAGAGAGGCAGGGTAATCCCTTCTCCCTTGACAGACGATGCAGCTTATAGCGTGCACCTGTCGGGGTTCGCTTTCAAACTTATCACGAGCTTTGATAAGTTTGTCGTTCCAAGCGTCACGACCTACATCCTCGAGATTATGGATGTAGGCGTTCCACGCCTGAAGTAGTGAGGGACCATCACGTTTGTGATTCCCACTGTACCATCGATGTCTGAAGAAAGCATCGATGAAGAACTCATGTTCAGCGCGATAGTCTTTCGCGCTGGGGTCAAGGTGATGGATCCTTGACGAATCGAACAATCGTGTTCGATAACGATCACTCGTCGTCGCCGACAAGTGATCCATGACAGATTTAGGAGGCATCCATGCCTTCTTTTCTGGAGCGAGACGCAACACATTGCGGTCCCGCTCTTCCTGCGACGTGCCGACAGAAGTACTGGCACCTCGCTGTGAAGTGGTGTCCATTGGAGAAACGACACCACTATTAGCGCCCGAGTCTCGCGACCTCGAGCGCCTTCGCTTCGGCGATGGTTCATCTGACTCATCAGATGAACCAAAGATGCTGCGACGCAAAGCATCGTCCATGCCACGCTTGGCAGGCGGCTTGGATTCAATTGCCGTCGATACGGATCCGTCATCCGTATCAGGAGAGTACGAGACACCGAGCTCGTACTCTGTGAAGACACGAGTGTCTTCATGACCAGCGCCTGCATCACCAGGTGATACAGGCTGAGTCGATTCAGCAACCGATGGGATATCAGTTGCTGTAGTTTCTGCTTCGGCGTCCGCACAGAGACGTGCAGACGCGCTCTCGGCGGCCTTGCTCGCGCATCGCATGGGCTTGTTTACCATGCGATGAGATGTTGGAAAGTGGACGCGGACCAACAAGTGCAAACCCCGTCCCAAATGATTTGGGACGAGTATCCATTTAGTCAATCAGTCACTAAAGTGACTGATGGTTAAGGGGGGTGATGTAACGGGGTGAATCGTTACATAACAATTTATAAGAAATTGTTAATAGAATATAACTATAAGAGTTATATTCTCAGAATATTGTCATAAGGACAATATTCTGTAGCACTTCCAAGTAGTTCCTAATTGGTTGATATAGGCCATTATATCAACCAACGAAGACGCGCCACGACAGACGCACGCAATGAGTGGTGAGCAGATAACTGATTTACACATTTGTATTTAGACATAGTTAGATGAAGATAAATAGTGATTTATTGCAGACATTAACTATTATAAATACAGTTCTACTTTTTACTCTAACCGAGTACTCGCTTCTTCTTACCGTCTTCCTCTGCACGTACGAGTGTACGTGAAGTTACGAGGCACCGCCTTATTCTGTTATCAGAATAAGTAGCTTGTACTGTCACCAGTACAAGCTTCAGGGTGCCCCGTTACATTTGTAGTGTTATAACATACTATTCTGTTGGTCTGTCGCTACACCGAAAAGCTGTGCGAAGGCACGCTGATTTGTGTCGTTCGCGTGGTGCAAAAATGCGGATGCTATTAACTGACCACCAGCACAATGATGCAAGCAGAAGCCACTTATTCACCATATTGTTCATATTGTGTCAGATTTGTTCGTGCATCGCCATTTGCTGCCATATATGGACAATAAAGACTCTAGACAGTATCGAGGGTTGAAGAGAAATCATAAGGCGAACAGTACCACATGTATCGAAGCTACTAAGCGCTTCTTAACAGAGACAGTCTTAGAATCAAAGAGTCTATCAGCTATAGCAAACTTACAATGACGCATAGTCGGTCATGCGTACAAGCTTAACAATTCCGGTTCCAAAGGGATTACGATTCACAGAATCACACACTAGCTAGTCACTACTAGTTAAACAAGAGTAAGCGCCTTCACAAGGATAATACTCCAAACAGCACACTACGTTTTGACTAGGCACAACTAGCTTCCAACGATTCAAAAGGGGCACTGAACTTTATCTATCCTTTAACTACGGTAATAAAACCATAAAACATTGTCGGACTGACTTCTATGTTGCAATCCTATGACAGAAGTCTGATCCCTTATCCTTAAACGGTAAGGTGCGGTATTACCGTAAGTACGTGGTACCAAGACTATACCACTCAGATCCGCCGATCTTTACTTAATGAGAACACACAACATAACTGATTCAATAACCGCCGTATAATCCCGTTACAGCTGCCCTCACCAAACTGTCGACACGTTCGTTTCGACAATCATTTTACTTTGTGAGGTCTGTCAGAGCTCTGGTCCTTGACAATCGTGCTCACAGCACATCTCAGAAATGGCTAAGTCAAATCGACCAATTAGCACCCTTGAATAATTTCTCGAAGAGGGTATTGTCGACTACGATAGTGACACCGCTACTTCGAGTGTCTATAATTACCCTCCAGCTACTCCACCGGCGCATGACAACACGCGCATCGCACCGAATCCATTCGTAGAGCGCGATGAGGTACCTTCACCCACTGTGCAGTGTGTAGTCGTCGATCCTGAGTCGGGTGTGTTGCACAACACTCTCGATGAAGACCAGGCACAATGTCGTTAGTCGGTCGATGAACGCAGGCGCCAAGCACAAATTATAGCCACAGCCAATGCTCACAGTGGCTATCGCTTCACTCCACCGAATGTGGATGAGCGTATTACGTCATACTGCCGGGAATTCAATCGCAACATGGATCACGGGACCCAAGGCTGTCACAGCCAGAGCACTAGCGAAGAGAGAGGCTCTCAGAGTAAAATACTTGGGGCTGAACGAATGACCGCTCAAGAGTACGTTGAAAGGCTACATCTGCAAGCACAAGGTGCGTCAGTGTCCGCCAATCGAACATTACCCGTCGTTATATTCACTGGCGAGACGAAGGTGGACAATTGTTTCATCTTCACGCGCTATGCTTCCAGAGCACGTCTTCTGCCAAGCCGGTTAAATCCCCAAGGGAGCGCTTTACTTGCCGACGTTCGGCTGGAACGGAAGATGCGTTGCAATCTCGCCAAACAAAAGACCAAAGGCCAACTGCGATTGTTCTATCACACCCGCTATGCTGCGGCATCTACGGACCCGCACATCAGTGCACATGCACCTGCTGCATTCTCCTCTACTACCGCACCGACTAGTGGGAAGCGGTATGGGTTGACTGAACCTGAAGACGACGCTCATAACATCAATAGAGTACGGACAGTCCTGCCGCAGTGGCACTTCGTACTCCCATGAGTTCTCCGACTCAGGTTACCCCTGCCACTATACGAAGTACTGATACTGACCGTCGCGACGACGTTGCTGCAAATTTTGCTCATTATGGTTACGTTGATCCCCTTGTTTGTCAACGAGAGCAGACGTTGTTGGTGAACCTCTACGCATCTTCGACGATTTAGTGCACGAGGTGCACGGTCTGTGTGACCAAGTGGCGCGATTTGAAGGACTACTGGATCTTCTCTTGAGGGTTCCTCAGATTGTGGCAGCACCAACTCTTTCGGCGCAAGCGCCTCGCGATCGACCAGCGACGGATCAAGGTAAGGCTAAATCAAGCCGACGTAAAAGACTGGGTGCCTATGCATTTTGCGTGGAAGGTAGAGCGTATACGCTAGACCTTTCTTGGCCACAACCGTATGTTTCCCATGAAGCGAGATCTCAACTTGGTCCCGCAGATCGCTGACACCACCTTGGTAGGTAGATTCTTAGCGTTAAAAACGACTAGGTCTTCAACCTCATAACACTCAATACACTTTTTGCCTTTGGCATCAGCTTGTTCCTTTTGTTTTTCCTGGCTATCCGCCATTGCACCACTTACATGTCGTAAGACATTTGATCGCGTAGTGAAAATTGCTCAACTTTTTCTGAACAGTAGTTGGGCTGACATCAGCAAGCCGATCGGCTATTTCTCCCCCACCAAGCCCAGAAAGTCGTAGGGGAAGCGTTAGCGGAACGCTTGGGTGAGTGAGACCCTTTACGTAGAATAAAGTAATGCCAGTAGAGGTATGAACAGCGTTTTCTAACGCAAACTCGACCACCGGGAGCATCGAGCTCCAACGCCGAGGCGTATAATTACAAACACTGTGTAAAATGTCACCAATGACACGGTTGACCCGTTCTATTTGACCATCGGTCTGCGGATGATCCGCTGTGAACATGTCCAACCTGGTGCCCAGCACCTTGAGATGGAAGCATAAGACTTGCCAGTGAAACGTGGATCACGATCCGAGACAATTGCCACAGGCAAACCGAGTTGACGACACACACGATCGATAAACAGCTTCGCTGTACCTTCGTTATCGATAGAATCAGGCATAGTCGCTAAATGATCCATCTTGCTCGAACGGTCAACAAAGACCACAATATCAGTGTTGCCGTCCGAATCCTTCGTTAGCCCGAGCGAGAAGTCGATAATGGTGGACTCCTAACACCCAGTGGGTACAGACAAACTAGCGAGCGGTGCAACCGCATGTGCTGAGGATTTGACCCTTTGACACGCTTCACGTGTCCGCACATATGTGCTCACCCTTTTGTACAACTAAGGCCATTAATTCATCTGGATAACTGAGCTATAAGTATTCTCAAGACCAAGGTGACCGCTTAAAGCAGTTTCATGTGCCTCAAGAAAAAACGATACTTTAATTCCTCATCATGAGGAACAACGATGTGAGGCACATCTGCAACACCCGTGCAATGGCACACCAACCCAATCTCGATGAAATACCGATGTAAGATCGCACGTAAAAGTGCCGACAATTTGATGTCCGAGTTTTTACCCTCCTCACTTCTAAGAGTATGTAGCAATGCCACGCATTGCTCAGCACGTGCACATTCTGCACGAATTAAATCCACAATGGATGACGACAGAGTCATATATAAGCAAGCTTATAATCAGTTCTACGTGACAACGCATCAACCAAAGCATTTGTTTGCCCGGCTTATACTTCGCCTCGGACTTTTATACAGCAAAAATGAAAGCCAACAGGTCATACAATGTGAGAGGTGAGGAGATCGTGTCGCAGTGCGCAACGACGCGTGGTATGTGAAGATCACAAAAGGCTTTGAGCCAAGTCGGTGAGATATGAACTTGACGAACGCATATTTCATCGCGAGAAACTCTTTGTCATGAACTGGGATGTTCTTCTCCGCAGCATTGTGCTGACGAAATTTATTCTCAATGACGAGCTCATGTTCATCAAAATCTGTCTGCAACAATGCACAATCAAAAGAAAAATCAGAAGCTTTGCAGACGATACTGAATGGTCGCTCAGGGTCAGGCAGAGCCAAAATTGAAGCATGGAGGAGACTTTCCTGTGTAGCTTCCAAAGATTGAGCATGGACTGCGTCCCAACACCAAACTGCATCATTCTTGAGGAGGTTGGTTAATAGCCTTGCCATGTCAGCATTATTTGCACTGTACGTGTGAAAGTAATCAGCAAGGCCGAGCTCTATACGCATATTCTTTTTGGCTCGACAAAATTGGCCAGTCAACAATTGACTTTACCTTAGCGGGATCCGCCCGAAGGTCACGCTTCCCAAAGAAGCACCCGAGAACCGGAATTTCTTCAGCACCAAAAATGCATTTTATGCATCTGCATACAGCTTATTAGTGCGCATGCAATCGAGCACTGCTCGTAATTAGTCAATGTTGTTGCTCACGTCTGACCTACTACGGTCTGCACGGCTATGGACAAAGATTTCATCATAACATCTTTGTGCATATCCTTGGTGAGGTCGGAACAATTAGGTCACAAGACGATTAAATGTACTCGGGGCTTAAGACAGCCTTTGAGGCATGACAAGCCACTCTCAAAGCATACCGCTTGGAGAACTAATCACTGTGAGCATATATCACTCGCTCGC